TTAGACTCTCTTAATATCTTACACTTTCAGACTTTCCAGCTCCAGCAAAAACATAGTGAATGCTGACTACAGGGAAAAGCCACAGAGATAAGAAAAAAACCCTGAACTCATAAGGAAATGGAGGAAAGCCACTGTGTGATGAGATAAAGAAGGGATGTGTGGGAATACAGAAAAAAATATCGATGAGCCAAGGGAAAAAGTATGAATGGTATCAAACCTACACCACCTACACTCAGTGGTCTTAATGCACGTTCTGGGTGCATTAAATTCGAACAATGCTTTCAAATTCGAACAATGACTGAATTAAAAATCCACCAAGATAACCCAGCGGGCACTTCCACCAGTTGGGTGTGCTGGCCTCAACACTACCAGGATGTGCAGTCTGTGATTTCAAACAAACCAGAGCTTTCTGCGTGGAGATCTTGCATCGTAAACAGCAAACACATGAATTATGGAAAATTTGCTACAGAAAAAGCTGCGAAAGACAAGTGGGGAAATGGTACAGGCCGTTTTTTTTGCAACAATGATCTGTAAACAGCGACTTGACCCAAAGAAGACTTGCAACAGTATGGATGGTGGAGAAGACAAAAGGGTAGGCAAAAAGGTTGCAGAGAATTTTCAGCCGACTGCAAAACACGGTGAGAGCAGACAGAAAAACTTGAAGTGCAATAGTACTATTTGGATTTGGGGAGCAGCATCTTCCAGAAGGGTGAGGTATTAAGAAAACAAAATACCTCATAACTTCCACGAGTTTTCAGAATTCTTCACGCTTATCCATCAGCACGAACATATACCTCAGATATCCTCAGTTCAGAACAGATTCGGAGCTGGGCTGGGTTGAGCTTTTACACGCCCGTGCTTATCCATCAGCACGAACATAAACCTCAGATATCCTCAGTTCAGAACAGATTCAGAGCTGGGCTGGGTTGAGCTTTTACACGCCCGTTGCTCCACCGTCTCCACGTGCTCACTGAAGACTAGAGCAGCTTGCAGATGAGCAGCACTCAGTTGCCCAAGTTTCCTCTAGTCTCCTCTACATTATCTTGCCCTTGCTGAGATTTGCCAAGTGTTTAACAGAAAATCTAGCTACAGTTTTGTCCCTTTAAATTCTCGCCTTCTCTTGCAGGCAGAAGACATCTGTGGAATAATAATGAATTTCTTTGGTTTGGGGTTTTTTGTTTTTATTAAAAGCTATTCTTCCTAGCAGGAAATGAAAAAGAACAACCAGATTGGTAGAATTTGGCGGAATAGGGAAAACATTTCTAAAGGTTAATAATAATACTGCTTAGCATTTATTTCAAGGATATGCAACAAACCAAAGAAAAACAGATGTTCTCTGTAACGCTCCAGTTTCTCTGCAAACTCAGGTACTGTCCAGAGCACTGGCTGCTGCAGCTCACAAAAGACAGGAAGGCTGCCCCAGGACATGCCACCCTGCTCTGTAAGTGAGATTCCTCTTAACCTCTCACTTGGAGTCAGACTGATGACCCCCCAAGCCCAGCATCAGGGCATGCCCAAGCCCTGATGGGACTTCCTGCATCCAAGTTCTCCAGCTCCTCCACCTCAGCAAGCTATTCCTGTGTATCTGGCTGTATCTCGTGCTGAGATACACAGTCTCTTTGATTTCTTATTAAAGCAGCTTCTGGTCTCCCAATGCTTTTAGTACTGCTGCACTGAGCTTTTGGAAACCGCTAATCACGAACACCCTAGAAACTTCACCAGGAATGCACTCAATGGCATTCACCAGCTCTTCAGTCCTGAAAAGTAGTATTTAAGCTGAACTCCAAGAGAATTTTTCAAAAAGCTACACTGAATTCAATTCATGACACACTATTAAGAATTATTTTACAAATGAAGCAGCTTAATATGATTTAAAGGATGCAGAACTTTCCCATAGGGAGAGAGAGGCAAATCCTCCGTGAGATGAGTACCAACACAGTTGGCACTGAGGTTTACAGAACTTTGATGTTAATGAATGTGGATGGGTTGTAGAGATGGGAGAAAAGCTGCCTTTATCAGTTTTCCCAGTACCAAGCTGATAGCCATTGTAAAACTGCTTTTTAATACAGCTGTGCAGCTTTTGCCAGTAAGCCACAGGTTTCCATCACATGATCAGGTGAAAACGTGCTTAACGAGGACGTGAATATGCTTCTTTGTTCATAACAAACTTATCACAAGACAGACAAAACTCAAATTATCACAAGAGGGCAAACGTTTAACCAGCAACATGTCAAAGCCTTCCAACCCACATCTCACTGTTCAACAGTCCAAAAAGGAAAAAAAATGTAATCAACTTGAATACCACCTTCTACAAATAAGAATTCACTTTACTTCTTTGTAACTCTACATCTGGAGCCTGTTTGTTTGGGGCATAAAGAAAAGAGGAAAGATATTTGGAGACACTTAAATTGCTTCACTTCCTGCCCAGAATGACTATGCAGTGATTTTGTTATAAAAAAGAAAACAATTGTTTCCCATGCTCCCTGGGAGAAGGACAAAACATAACCTGCTGAATGTGCAGCAAAAAAAAAAAAAAAAGATTTCAGTTCAACAGTAAGAAAAAACTGCTAATGCTAATGAAGGTAAGTCGAGAAATAAGGCAGCTGCAGAGTCCCTGTTGCCAGATGACAGTAGGAACCCCTGAAGCACTGACCCAGGCTGATGAAGGCGGGCACGCTCCATGCTGTTTCAGGTCTGGGTAACACGAAGCTCACAGAGTGCTGATAAGCCTGGTACTGCTTCCATGGACGGGTCGATATTTACACCCACGCTGGCACGGACCACTTGGTGCAGGTGAGCCCATAAGCTCCTACAGCCCAACAAGTCTATAGGGGAGCTGGGTGCTGTGCCAAAGCAGCCAGGCACTGGGGACAGATGGAGGGAAACAGCATCTCCCAGGCATTCCTAAGAGCCATGTAAAACATCAGCCCTCTCTATTCCAACCCTCACCCCCTTCAGTTTCACGCACTTTTAAAACAGCTGCTTTAAAATATTCTGGCTTCAAAGCACAGTAAATTAAGCTTCACATACAGTCCATTCAGCTTTTTGTTTAATTTGATAAAAGCTCATCAGACCATTCCGGTTACCTTCTGGTCAATACTGCCTCAAGAAATCTGCAATTCAGCTCCCTGTGGTTTTTCCAATATTTCTGTAAAACATTACCCACAGAATCTGTTGGCCTGCATATATCAAGTCTTTGGTAAACACTGTTTCTGGGCCACTCAAAGTACCTTTTATACTATTGTGATCTCTTCTTTTTCTCTAGAAGTCTTTATTTAGTGTGATTTTTCTTTCCTCTTGCTCTAACGCCCTGGGATCACCGTCATTTTCATACAGCATTTCTCCTCTGTTTTAACCTGATGCCATGCCATGCCCTTTTCCGTTTTAATTTCTTTCCAAGAAGAAGGATTGGTCTCAATAACAATGGCTTAGCTCTTGACTTGCTGGCGAGGAGGTTTAGCTTCAGGCTAGACAAAGTTACTGTTAAGTTAAATACCTTCACCTCTATTGACAATGAACAATAAATACGCTTACTGTAGCCCCCTGCATCACGGATGATCCCAAAGCACTCTACAAACAGTGTACTGGGTCCCTCATTCACCATCAAAACACACTCGCCGCTAACTGTGCCAGCAACACTACATAAAAGTTAGTTAAGAGGTGAAACAGAGAGCAACTTCTCCCAGCGAAATTACAAGGAAATTAAGGGAGGCAGAGTCTATTACTGCACGGAGAAGTTGGCAGGGAGACTGAGCAGCACACCTTTTTAATGGCCAGAAGAGGGGCAGGGTCCCTGCTCAAGACAGAATCACCAGCAGTGCAATGCTGCTCCTCAGGCCTCTGCTGGGCACCACGCGTTATCGGCTGCAGGAAGCCCACCGCACGTGGAGCCTCTCCATCTGCAGGCTTTTCATCTCAGCATTATCAAGAAAAAGCAATGCCTAGCCTAGGAGCTTTGACAAGATCCCAACACAGTGGGGATAATAGAAAAATACACAGAAGATTTCATTTTAAGACCTCTTCGATGTTTCTTATTTCAATAAGCCATTGCACTGGGAGAAAAAAAAATCCCGTGAAACCGATCATTTCAGGAATACACAGAATCACCCTCCCCCTGCACCTCCCCTCTCGTGAAGTATTGACCTTGCTAGGAAAGCAGCAGACTCAAAGATTTTAGATTTCCTACCACATAATTGCAAATTAGGCCATTCGGTAAAAAGAATAGATACTTTACTAAATAAATAAATATTTGTAAATAAATAGTGATCATGTGGAGCTAAACAGTATCATACATAAACACAGTCCTGGTACATCAAAAAGGTAAGTCTACTCTATTCCTCTAATGGTATCCCAAAGTTTTAGGAGCATGTGTACAGCCCTTCCAAGAGGACTTTATTAAAAAAAGAAAGTTCTGCTTTAAGCATTTAAATCCCTAAAGACAGACAAAAGAAAACACAGGACAAAGTAGAAATACTATTGATTATGCATAATTGGTATAATTAATTTGTAATTAGTTCATTAAAATATATAGGCATTGGAATTATGCTTGTACATTTCTGGGAATATCCTGCAAGTCACTTGGGATACGCTTATCATTTATTTGATAGATGAAACATTATTAGAAAGACAGCCTATTAAAAATTAATATACCAGAGTAATAATTTCTCGATCTCAGCATCCAGTTTTCTACATACTCAGACTCCTATTCTGCCTCATCAAGAGTTTTTATTGATACTGTTTTTCAGAGCGTGACCTGGGAAGCGCAGCATTTGAGACAACTGAGGCACAGTATCCTTTACGCCAAGCATGTAGTCAGTTTTGAGAAAACAAAAAGACAAATACCATAAATTATACACAAAGGAGAGCATTCAGCACCACAACTAATTCTACGATCAAAATTAAGATGGAAAGGTAAAAGGCCTCGTGCTTCAAAAGGAATACCAAACACGCATGGAGAGCAGTAGGAAGGAACTTCCACAGCATGGTAAGCAGCCTGGTCTCTAATTGCTCAGCGTTCCTCCACTTCTGCAGCACGTCTGGCGTCGCTCACTGTCATCAACGACCACGTCCGTACGAGCAGGGTTTCTGGGGTTCTTAAACACTGCGGGTAACAGGCACCAGTCTCTCGCAAGAAGAGACTGAAAGGTGCTGGTATACACTGGTGCTGCAGTAGCGTTTCAGAGGCGTTATCACAACTTGATGGAGGGGGGAGGTAAGATGGAGTAATAGCACGTCGTCATCTCTCTCCTGTAATGTTCCTCCAGTATTCCTACCGATCGTTCTGAAGACCTACAGATATTTCTGAAGTGCCATTTCAACCAACAGCTACAGAAATAATTGGGTCTTAAAAACCCAGAATATGGTCACATCACCTCCGAGTTGGATACACAAAGCTTCCTTAAACTTCTGTAACGGACAGAGAGTGAGACAGCCCTTATGAGTGTAATTCTGAGCACCACGAATAGACCTTCTGCTCAGAATCGACTCTTAAAAAGCATTTTCCTGCCCACTCTGCCTCCATCAACACTAATGGGAGCCTAGAAAGGCTGGTCCCGCACTGATGCACCTCATCTAGACACAGGAATCTTGGCCATGTGAATATCTATGTTCATTTTTAAAAAAAAATAATTAAAGAAATACTATGATTACTCAAAATAAGCAAAATCAACAGTAGATATACAGTGCAAGTGGTGGTGTTTGCCATTATACGGCTTGAATTTTTCTTGCAAAAATGAGTATGAGTCTTAAAAAAAACCCCAAACAACCAAAGGCACTTTGATTTTTTAAAGAAGGGTAAAATTGCAAAAAGAAATGTAGAAAACAGAGTTAGGTCTCCAGGTCTTTTAAGCCACAATTAAACACCTCCCTGTAATTTTTTGCTTCTCAGCAAATCTGAACAATCTCCCAGGACTCACATACTTCTTTTTTTCCCGCCTCCAGTTTAGCATGGACAATTATTTATTTTCTTTGCCCTGCACTCAAGAATGTGATGGATGTATTTACATAAACACACACGCAGAGTCGCAGATATCTCTCTATAAAAATTAATCTGCAGATGATGAAAAGTGTAAAAGATCTAAGAGGCAAGTCCCAAACAAAAGAGCGCACTTTATACATAAATATCTTGAAATTATAAAGATGTGAGATTAAGTGGTTTACCACTCATTTAGAATTGATTAGAATGTATTTAAATTTAGCTGAAAGTACCACAACATTGCTCATGTATTTGCATCTGCGAATAAGTAAATAAAAAGCCTGTTATTAAAGCCTTCATTAATTCTGATTATATGAGAACTTAAAAGCAAATCTGTGTATTACTGCTCTGTAAAGACTCCTAGCAACTCTACAGTGAAGCTGGCACTGCGACACAACATGTGTCAGCGAAAATGACTAACAGCATCTATTTTCAGTAATCTTAAATCACACTGGTAAAATATAGAATTTACAGTTTTGCATAATACTTCAAATATTTTTTTAATTCTAATTCATTCCCAATTCATGCCTTATTGTGTCAAAAAGTGAATTTTATATCACTTGACATTTATGCACAACGGTTGAACACGTTTTATTAAACTACAATGTTTAGGCAGTATTCTGATGCGATGTGTATATTATTATGAAGAGTGATCCAGCTATTTTATTTCCTTGTAAATATGATAGCTAGAAGTTTAAAAATATATCACGTTGACTAGAAACATGAAGAACATTTCATTCTGACTACAGATTTTGAAAGTTTCTACGTATTTAATTGAAGCCAGTATTTTTGAAAGAATGATTCATTACTTTTAGTAGAATTTTCCCCCAATTAAAGACTTGTCTGTTGATTTCTAAGGAGTTTAACAATGAAGTACATAATCTACCCCAAAAAGGTGGCTCTTGGAAAAAAACAAGTTTTAAGCTATGAATGACTTCTGTCTTCAACTTCCCCCCTGCCCCTCCCACCCCAAAAAATCTACCCATCTCTCTGACATAGTGGTTTAATAGTTTAAGCAGAGAAGCGTAACTGAAAAATTACTAATTAGGTTCTTCAATCTCTCTTCTTATACTAATAAATTAAATAAATGTGTCACGACAAACTCGTGCTTACAGAAACTTGAGTGTGCAACACCGATTCACCTGTCAGCCCTGACGTCCCTTTTTGACTGTGAAGGACAGTCCTGGTAAAGCTCCCTCTGCAAACTCTACTTTTCATGGCTCGATTCAAAGCCTAAGCGAATCTTTCGATGACTTGAGTGGGACCACAGATCACAGACCAGCACAGCTCCATACTCCGTTCATAAATGAAACGTGAGTTGGGGCAGGGAGGGGAGAAAAAGCAAAAGACTCGTTAAATTTGGTACACAGGAAATCATGTTGCAATACTTAAGGAAGTTTGCTTGCCACTCTCATAGTTGAAAAGTCATTTCAAATAAAAAGAAAATAAAACATGAAACAACCTCCCCCAACATTTAGCCATTAAGCTCAGTTACGAGGAGTTTGATTAAAGATTTTGCGCTTTATCACATCTCATAATCAGACTGGGTTTAGAATAAGTTCTGCAGTATACTGTATAGAGTTGGCCTCAAAATAAGTTACTTTTC